GAGGTGAAAATTTTATATATCAAAAGTTATTTTAACACCAATTCCCCTCTTTACCCTATATAAAACAATATAATTAATTCCACAAAATATAAATAACTGCGAATAACAATAAATTAAACAATTTATATGTAAATATGTAAATTAATTATTATACACTCACTGGCATGTACTGAATATAGGCGCAAAAAGTAATTGCTATAAACAAAACATTTGTAAGGGCTAAGGCAGATGAACAAGACATAAGCGTCATAGTCGTAGACGTAAAATAAAACGTAAACGTAAATCATGAAAGGCTATTAGTCTTATGCTTACGTTTTTCTCTGCCTTACTTTACATCTACGATTACGACGCTTACGTCTCGTTCTCTGCCTTAGCCCTAATTCCTCATAAATTCTCAAAGTGTTCTAGGAATTCAGTTGCGAAGTATTCGCTATAATAAAGTTCTAAGGAATATTTCAAGACGTACTTACTGTAGTTAATTCTTCAAGAATTCTTCGGGTATTCATTTTTCTAATTCTGTATCTATTCTTTAAAATGAATTCTCTAGGAACTTCTGTTCATCTCTATGCTATCTGGGTAATGTGTTTCTATTATATTTTAAGTTTTATAAATACACATATTTTCTCACACTTTTGTGAGAAATTCTCATTTTTTAGCTTAAGTACAACAGACTTGCGCCCCCCTCCCCCCCCCCGCCGCGGTGCGTAGCCACCCAGCTACACGGCTAGGGACAGACATCTCTTTTATTTTTTACCATATTTCAATAATATAAACATGCCTATATGGCGGTCGCTTATAATTTCCGAGTTACTAATAAAAAAGATGCCTGTCTCTAGCAGTGTAACTGGGGGGCTACACCCCCCAGACCCCACGCACCACGGCGGGAGGGGGCCAAGTCTGTTGTACTTAAGTTAGAGTGAGAATTTCTCACAAAAATGAAAGGAAAAGTGTGTATTTTATAGAAACGTCTTGAAAAATTATGTTACATTTATACAACTTTTTTTGTTAATAACTTTTTGACAAACAACGAGCGACGGCTAAAACCTTCAGAAAATCATTCAGGAGGATGACCTCTATAACATATGTCAAGGTCAAAGTCATCTGAGGGGAGTCCCCTAAACAGGAGTTTTACCAAAATGATGTCCAGTGTAGATCTTTTTTTGAATATTCCAAGGACGTCCAAAATAGGTAAAAACGGACATCCTATGAACGCCCACCGGATGTCTGTTGGGCTTTATTCGGATGTCTTATGGACGTCCCAATATCCAAACTTGAACGTTCACTGGACGTCTTATGGACGTCCATGTGCTATCTGCCCAGACAGCACAAAGACGTTTTAAAAACGTATTAAAAACGTACGTACTGGACGTTGTGTACGTATTTAAAAACATATTAAAAACATATGTATTGGACGTTCTGTACGTATTTAAAACGTCCATTTCAGATTCATAAACGTTTTTAGGACATTTTAAAAACATCCGTTGTTATTTTTATGGATGTTCAAAAGACATCCGAATTAAGGACCCACCGGACTAAAACTGGACGTTCTTAGAATAAAAATAGTTTGTAATTTTGAATGTTCTTAACCACCAAAAGAATATTTCAAAGACATTTGAAAAAGTATTTTTAAAAACGTTAAAAATAATGAGATACTCAGACAGCACAAAATATTTATAAAATATTTACAAATTATTTATAAATTATTTATATTTACAAATTATTTTAATTATTTATTTTTTATTTGAATATTTTATAAATATTTACCAAAATATTTTATAAATTTTTTTATGACCTTAGCTTCAATATATATAGATTATAAATATTTATCATAAATATTATGAAAATATTTATTAAAATATATACATTTATATACTTTTTTCTCTTTTTTGAACTTTTCTTAAATTTTTAAAATATATATGTTCTTAGTTTCCACTTTATATTGTTTCATACGTTACTTAATTCAAGTTAAATTTTACTTCGAAAATTTATTTACCATTATCGAGATTCGACCTTTGGTTCTTGAGTCATTTACCTTACCTATTGCGCTACTATTACTTTGACAGAGAGATGCTTTGTATTGTATACATATGGTACATTTATGCACGAAAACAAATGATTTATTTAAAAGAAAAGAATAGAAATGTTTTAAATGTAAAATGTATGTTTGAAAAATATGTAGGAAGTATATTTAAAAAATATTTACTTGTTTCA